CCCCCCTTGACAGATATGTTCTAGTCCCTAGAACATCACATCATAAATTCCTAGTCCATGTAACTCTGGGGCCGCACCCCCATGTTGGTCCTTTGGGACCTTCTTGGCTCAGGTAAAGGTGCACAAGAGTCAAGAGTCCCCACATCGGCACAGGTGGGCTATCTGAATTTTCGGTAGAATCAGATTTCGGGAGTACATAGTGGAGACAAGGTCGAAGGTTGTTTTGATGAATGGTACGTTCTGGTCCATCCTTTCCCTCTGGACGTACTTTATATACAGGGTGAAACCTGTCAACAATCACATAAGGGCACTTTTCCCAGCAATCACCAAGCTTACCAGCCTGTCACCTCCTGTGGTCCTGCACTAGAACCCGTTCTCCAGACAGAAGCGGGGCGTCTCTGGCTGTGCGGTCATATAGTCTTTTGTTTTTCTCACCTGCTTTATGAAGGTTGTCAGATGTTCTTTTGTATGCATAAGCCAGTTGTGCTTGGTGCTTGACCACCCAGTCTGTGGTGCACCTAGGAGGGTCGGTTTCCATGCCCCCGACCAGCAAATCCACAGGGGTCTTCATATGGGGGCCAAACATCAAAAAGGATGGTATGTAGCCTGTGGATGCATGGACAGTATTATTATAGGCTTGAATAAGTCCAGGCAAGTACTCCACCCACCTTTGATGTTTTTCTACTTCCAATGTACCCAGGAGGTTGAACACAGTCTGGTTAAAATGTTCACAGGCGCCATTCCCCATAGGGTGGTATGGGGTCGTTCGACTTTTACGACACCCATAAACTTGACAGAGTTCTTGTATCAACCTGGATTCGAAATTAGTGCCTTGGTCCGAATGTAGAACCTCAGGACAGCCAAATGGCTGGATTACATAGGACCACAGGGCTTGTGCTGTTGTGAGAGCTGTTTGATCTAAGGTGGGGACTGCCCACGCAAATTTTGTGAACAGATCTGTCATAACAAGTATATTCTGATACCTGTCAGCTGGGCGGCCCAATGTCAAAAAATCAATAGCTACAATATGCATTGGAGCTTTAGCGGTGAGTGGCACTAAAGGGGCTTTACCGTGTGGTCCAGACTTGTGCAGTACGCAGCGCGGACAGGCCTGTAGCCAGGCAGTAATCATGTCCTCCATCTGTGGACAGTAGAAATTTCTCCGAAGTAAGGCCAGCGATTTATCCAGCCCCGGATGCCCCATCTTCTCATGGTACATAGTCCATAGTAGCTGTGCCTGTGATGCTGGAACAACAATCTGATGGAGTGTTTCTAATGTTTGGGGGTCTTGAACAGTTCTACACACTACCCCATTTCTCTGCTCTAGTCTCTTCCAGTGTCTTAATAGGATCTTGACTGGCTGAGCCAGCGATCGCCTCTCCGTAGCATTTGGCAGCATACCTCTCTCCTTGACCTTACGCAGATCCAGGTCCTCATCCTGCATGGTCCTCCACCGTTCCAGATCCCAACCCAAACTGCTGTCCAGAGTCCATGAAGAAGTGGCGGCCTCCACTGCTCCTACCGATTTCTCTTGCTCCTCCTGGGCCTGATTTGGAGGAACAGTAGGGAATCTGGAGAGGACGTCAGCATTAGCGTTCTCTTTCCCTGGGCGGTATCTAATGGAGTAATCAAACATTGCCAACTGTGCGACCAACCTCTGTTCAACAGCTCCTAACTTGGCAGTCTGCAGATGGACCAGGGGATTGTTGTCAGTCACAACAGAAAATTTAGCACCCCACAGATAGTCCTTAAACTTCTCCACAATCACCCATTTCATGGCGAGGAGCTCAAGTTTAAATGAACTATAATTTGCATCATTGCGTTCTGCTGGGTGCAAACTCCGGCTGGCATATGCGATCACACGTTCGACACCACCCTGTTCTTGGGCCAGTACTGCCCCAAGCCCGGTGTTGCTGGCATCAGTGTAAAGGGTAAAAGGCAGGGTATAGTCAGCATATGACAAAATGGGAGCCTGCAGCAGCTCCCCCTTTAGCCTTTGGAAAGCTGCTTCACACTGACCTGTCCAGTTAACAGGGGGGGAGTGCCGCCGCCTGTTGCGACCAGTGTCTTTTAACAGTTCATTGAGGGGTCTAGCAATCTTAGCAAAATCTTTTATAAATAGTCTGTAATACCCCACAAACCCCAAAAATGAACGGACTTGCCTGACAGTAGTAGGAAGTTGCCAGTCTGCTACGGCTGTCACTTTTTCCGGGTCGGATGAGACTCCCTGGTTGCCGACCACTAAAACTTCTATATATGGAGTTTTAATGTCAGGGTGACCTCCGAAATGATTATATTAATTATTAAATTATTAGGTATGGTCTTCAGTGCTGCAGGCGCTGACAAGACAGACGCCATGTGACATTGCTCAATCCAGTGAGTCCTTTTATCATCTAAACACCTGACACCTACTTTCTTTGGTAGTTAACTGATTGTTTAGTGAATAAGATGGTGAAAAGAAACAATTTACAAATACTACCTGAAACCAAAGTTAACATATTTAACACTCCGGTACAGTAGGTGGCGGCCGTTAAAGTCCGCCGCGAAAACCAAAGAAGAAGAAGAAGAAGGAGACGTGGTAGTAGTAGTAGAAGAAGAAGACGCTGGAGGAGGAAGAATCTGTCAGACTGCTCTGAGCAACAGCTGGACTTTTTCTATACAAAGCGGCGTGTTGTCAGCGTTTGTGTGTTGTCAGCGTTTGTGTGTGTCGGTGTGTGTCGGTGCTGCAGCGGAGGACTGATGAAGAACCGGAGGGTCTGACAGGAGAACAGCAAAGAGGCTCCGTGAGTCCGCGGTGAGTGGCATTAAAGCCCTCCTGTTGATCCGGCTGAACAGGATCAGGCCTGACAGCACCGCATCAGTACATTCATACTAATCAGTAATCGAGCCTGAGAGCACTACAGATCATCAGCACTTTTATGATGATCAGTAATCAAGCCTAAGAGCACCGCATCCCATTAATATATTAATAACAATCTAATTGATCTGTGAGAAATCAGATTATCTGGATTGTAAACACTCTGAACTGACTTGAATACGGTGGTGGATGGACTGAAAGACACTGCTGCTTAACAATGACAAAAATCTGTGTTTAAGTATAAACTGACTCTTCAGTATCAGAGCTGCTGGTTGATTTTTTTATTTAATCTGTAGCATATTAGACAGATGTTGCAGAATCACAGTGTTTCCACATGTAAATATAGTTTTAGTATTGATTAATCTGACAAATTCGTATTAGGTGATTAATTATTTTGGCTGTATGTTACTAAAAATCTTCCCGATTATTCTTGCAAAACCCAAAGAAATTCATTGAAATGTTATATCTCACAAAAGCTTTCAAGATGCCAGACCTCATGGTGTTTTTACTATTGATAAATGTGACAGATTCTAGATTGGTTGATTAATTATTTTGGTTATAAGATACCAAAAAATCCTAACTACAGAGATCCACTCTATTTTGACATCTGACAAATAAAAGCAAAAAAACCCCTATTTTTTCAGTGTTCATTCTAAAAATATTTCCATCATTGATTAATCTGTCCCTGGGCTGAAACACAGTTATTTTTATTCTCAATTAATCAGACAAAATCTGGAGTAGTTGATTGATTATTGTGGACATTAAATGCCCCCCCAAAAAATCACAACTTCAGAGATCAAGTTTACTGTTACACCTGACAAAATAGTGGAACATAGTTTTTTAGATGTCAGATCTAACAATATATTCATTTTTGGTTTTATTGATTTTAAAGCTAGGTCTTCTTTTATTCAAAACCCAAAGATATTTAGTTTGCTGTCACAGAGTAGGAAATAATCCATAAAACTATTCATATGTAAGATGCTTCAGTTACTGAATTTAGACTGTTTTTTTTTTCTTAAAACATACTCTAACAAATTAATTGTCAAAACAGTTGGTGATTAATTTAACAGTTGACAACTGTTTGATTAATTGCTGCAGCTTTACAGATATTAATAATAACAAAACAATACTAATCTTTCCAACTGCCAACTATTGTTTTTTGCATGTGAAAGTAAAGGGTTGAAATTTTTTTTATATTGTGCAAAAGTACATGACTTTTACTGTTAATTTTCAGCTGATGTGTTCACTGATTGAAGGATTAATAATTAACTCACGTGCACAGTTTATCTTCAGCTGTTTTTAAGAGTGGCAAGCAATGACTATTTACTTTCACTCACAGTTAATCAGTTTGTTATTTTCTCGATTAATTGTCTTGTTTTGTCCGACACTAAAACCTGGAGAGATTCAGTTTGGCGTTGATGGACTCAGTGGTGAATAGTTTGAGCTCTAGCAGCTTGTGATGGAATTCAGCGAGTGTGAACAGACAGGGCTTCCCAGGACATTGTTGTTTGTGGTTGTACCTGCCGACCGGGAATCAAGGATTCTGACCGTTTTCTACCACCAGAGTTTGGATTGTGAAACAGTGAAAAACTTCAGGGTCTTAGTGTTTGTTGGTTCTCAGGAACACGACGAGCAGCTTATCGTGTTTCTGCTCAGTGTGACTGCTGCAGCCCAAGATCAGGTGTGTGTCTGTGGGTGTGTGCCGACCAGGATGTCCTCCTCCACTGTTGCGTCACCTGGGCTCGTCCTGATCTGCAGACACACTCTGTATTGTGCTGTGTGCTTGGTGTTGTGTTTCACGTGTTGACTGCTTTGTCACATGTCACACACAAACACACCTGGACGCCTGCTGTACACATCAGGATCAACACTTTTAATTTTTCCTCCAAGGATTTAGCACAAACATAGAGGAAGAGAGAATTCAGAAGTATCGTCTGAGCAGTATGACGCAGTTAGAATGACACAAATCAGAAAAAATACACAAATGTTAAATGTCTGTGATTCTTTGAAAAAAAAAATGAGGCTCCACACAATGTTGATATTCAACTATTTGTATTTTCCTTTACAAATGTGGTGAGACAGTTTTATCTCCTTTGTGTCATTTTGTGGTCATTTTCCGTGTCCCTTCTGTCATTTTGTCCCTCATTTGTGTAGTTTTGTACATCCAATTTTTATAGTTTTCTGTGTTATGTCTCATTTTTGTAGGTTACTACTTTTGTTTTGCCTGTTTTGTATCTCACTTTGATCATATCATGTTTGTCATTGTTTGCATTGTTTTGTGTTGCTTTGTATCTCGCTTTTGATATTTTGGGTCTCTTTGAGACAATTTTGCCACTTTATGTTCTCATCTTTGTCATTTTTTTGTCTCTGTGATTTTGTTTTGTTTTTGTTGTTTTGTCTCGACATTCATGTCGTTTTGTATCTTGTTTTGGTTGTTCGTGTTGTGTGTCATTATTGTAGTTCTGTCATTTTATAGCTCTGTTTGGTTGTATCATGTCTTGTGTTTGTTGTTTTATGTTATGTGTCGTTCTTTTTGAAGTTTTGTGTCTCTTTAAGACATTTTGCTAGTTTTTGGTCTCATTTTGGGTTATTTATATCCCCTCTGTCATTTTGTGTTTTTTGTTGTTGTTTTGCTTCTAATTTTTCCAGTTTTGTAATTTATTTTATTTTATTTATATCTCTTTTTGGTCATTTTGCACGTTGTGTGTGTTGTTTTGTGTCACTTTGTGTTTCACTTTTGTAATTTACATCTAGCTTTGCTCGTTTTGTTTTTGTTGTTTTGTATTTCTTTTGTCTTGTTTTTTTGTGTTGCTTTGTGTCTAATTTTTATTGTTTTTTTGTGTTTGTGTGTGTGAAGACACATCTGGCTTCATGTCAGATCAACAGCCAGCAGGAACAGATTCTTTTCTGTGTGTGATCAGGCTGATAATGGATTGTGTAAATGTGTTTCAGGTGATGGATGCAGAGAGCGGCGAGCTGTTCCTCGGCACCGTGGCGACCGGCAGCTGGCAGCTCGATGCTCCGTTCTCCTGCTCCGAGCTCGTCTTCAGCGGATCTGACAAACCCCTGCAGGACTGGGCAGTAGACCCTGACTCTGTGAGTGACCTCCTCCTGTTTCCAGACAAGGACTCATGGTTAAATTTAGAAAAGGCAGATTTACCCACGTGTCCTCTGCCAGTGAAACATATCCTATGGTTATATTAACTGAGGACAGACCTCCTGCCCTTCCATAATTAATAGATAAAAAACCACAATTACAACACCAACCACTAAAGTTCAAAGAAACATTTTAAACTTTAGTGATTGTTAAATTTGTCATCTAGCCGATGGTTGAAAACATTGCCTTGCAGTTCACCAGAACATTACAGCATGACTGAAAACCCTCCCACTCTCATCATTATTTTGTCATTCCCCTGCTTGCTTCGCCAACTTCTCTCTCTAATTCTATGTAAATCAAAGGCAAAATACCCAAAATCAAATCTTTAAAGCTCAACATATTGACTATTAATCAAACGTCTGCATCTTTCTAAATGTCCAGACGCTCCACGACAGCGACTCAGAGGACGTACTCCATGGCGTCGATCCAAACGAGGTGTTTCCCAGCGGGCCGCCTGCCGACCTGTCATCAGAGAGCGATAGCGGCATGTCCGAGGAGCCAGTCATCGAGAGTCCTGTCACCATGGTGACCACAGCGACCAACCAGCCGGCTCTGGCGACCGTCTACCAGGTGGTTTATGACATCAACGGGGTGGGTGGAGCCAAGACTGACGCCGGACAGGAGAACGTCATCGCCATCGAGCTCGGTGAGGCCAGAGTGTGTGTCTGATGTCAGTTTAATTTAACAGTCCTGAAACCTTTGTTGATTTGTTTATTGATTGATTGATTTCAGACATGCCACAATAACATAAAGGCAAAATGAGTAGGCTCAAGTTTACCTGATTAACTCCAACCTGCTACATGTCCACACATGTTTCCTATTTGTTTTAAACCTTATGCTTACATACATCTTAGAAACCTTAACAAAACCTTCACTGTACCACATTATTGTAGTCTTTAAGCTGTCTTTTAGTAAGTTTTTCTGGTATTGTTTCATGATTGTACTCATTTTGAGATATTAGTGAGTATCCATAAGTTTACTGCACAATCTAATAAACATCTACTCTTCATGGTGGTTCGAGCAAAGGGCTTTTTAAAATGTGAATTTCCTCCTAATTCATAGTTTGTACTGTTGTTTGTTAGCAGTTGTTGCATATTATCAGGGAGCAACTTATGTTTGCTTTGAACATTATTTCCGCGTTCTTGAAATGAACTAAATCAATACATTTCATATTTATAATACGCGTTCTCATTGTTTTGATGACTTTTTCCTAATATTTAGTTCTCATAGTTTCTTAAAAATCATCTGGCAGTTAAAGCCCATTTCTACAAAAGTGTTTCCTGAATGAAACAATGATTCTGTGGATTTTCCTTCTGTGCCTGAATTGTATTGCTTGCACAGCCAGTTCTGATTGATCCTTGTCATGCTTCTTGTTGCATCATTTAAAAAAAAATCAAATTAAAAAAACCCAAAACAAATCTGAAATGGATCATTTTTAGCTCATTCAGGCCTCGGTAAACATCAGATTGTATTAAGTGCTGAGTTAATAATAAATCCACAAAATCCGCTGCACTGTGAGCTTACACAGTAATCGCTGTCAAAAACACAGATGATGTGACTGAACATGTCGTCCTCTCTGTCTTGTGCAGATGAATGGAGCTCTCAGGTGCTGCTCTCGGACTCGTGCATCGTGAACGAGCTGCCGGTTTTAGCAGCACGTCAAGTTGCCGTCGACCCTCTCAGCCCAGACGGAGACCTGGTGAGACTCTGATCATTTGTCAGTCCCTCAACTCCTGTCCTCACCTCCACCTGACACGCTGTTGGAGGAGGCGAGAAGGAGAGATGAGTCGAAGCAACAGGCATGAAACCCCCTAAAACTCAAAACCTGCCAATTTGAAATTTTGTCTTTTTGTAAAGACAGCAATCCCAATTTATCGGCCACAATCTGTAAAAACAGAGAGAATCACTGGATTTTCAACTTACTGACAACCCTTTTACTATTCATCTGAACCTTAAAATCTTGATATTCAAGCAATAAAATAAAAAAAAATAAAATATCCACTTTGCTTTAGCCAGATTCTGTAAAACAAACTACAAGTCTGAGCTCTGTGCAAACATGAAGCCATGACTAACTCGGCTATGACCAACAGTGAAAAAATGATATTAAAATGATGAGTTTTCAGGTGAACTGCAGGCAGTGTTTCCACAGAGCAGAGGCAGCAACTTGTGAGATCTAATTCTAAAATAAAATAAATGTAAATTACTAAAAATGTGTACCATTAGTAGCTACCAAAAACCACTGAACCAGAAGGACATACACTGCATAAAAAGACAGAAAACCTTTTTTTTTTCTCACAGTCTGAAATTAAATCAGACAAAACTTTTTCTGTTTTAGGTCAGGTAGGATTACCCAAAAATATTTTTATTTGCTAAACTCCAGAGAAATGAGAGAGAGTTATTTTTTTGAAAATGATTTTTACTTCTCTCTCTAAGTCTATGTAAATCAAAGGCAAACACCCCAAATTAGATCTTTAAAGCTTAATATATTGACTGTATTAACTGCACTTTAGAAATAAAAGCCGAGAATAAGCCTGGGGGTTTGACTCTTTTTCTTCTTCTTCTGTTTCAACTGCAGCCGGATCTCCAGCTGACTGAGGAGGAGCAGAAGCTGCTGACTCAGGAGGGAGTTTCTCTACCCAGCAACCTTCCTCTCACCAAGGTCAGACCGCTGACTGACACCTCGCTTGCTTTTTAGCCTTCCGGTAAAGAACGATGCTGATTCTGAACCAACCTTTACTTGCAGGCTGAGGAACGGATCCTGAAGAAAGTTCGCAGGAAAATCCGCAACAAGCAGTCTGCTCAGGACAGCCGACGGAGGAGGAAGGAGTACATCGACGGGCTGGAGAGCAGGTACATCCTCTGACCAAACCTGCAGGGAGAGTTCAGGACTTATTTACAAAGAAAGTAACACTTATGGACTGAACCTCAGTCAGAAATAGGGCTGCAGCGGTTAGTCGATGTAATTTACATCAACGTCAATAATAAAACTGATAATTAAATGTTCCCATGTGATCATTTTGCAGATATTTGGTGTTATTTTAAAGAAACAAAAAAAGCATAGTTAGGGATAAAAAATGTAAAAATGTAACTGATAATCTGCTTTGCCTGAAAATTTTATAGCGAGCTGAAGTCAACTAGTTATAGTTTCTGAGAATGAAAGTTGTTACTCAAAGTAATAACAGAGATATTTTTTATGAAAGGTAAAATGTTCTAATACATTTCTTTTCGTTTTTGTGACCAGTTATTTCATATTAAAAAGTATTCTACATGTTTTATCTTGTTGTGACATGCAGCCATATATGGTTCAGAAAACATCACTATTTAACTTCTGCATTATCAGTTTTTTGTTAATTTGTGCAGAATTTTCAACTTGCCTGTAATCAGAGCTTATTGGATTTACTTGTCCAATATTGCAGATTCTGAATCAATGACACGATGAGAATTAACAGTGCAAATGTTCTGAGATATTGTCCTTCAAACAGCCTCAGATTTCAATGTGTGAAAAAAAGCTTTCTAACAAATTTATCTCAAAAAGTTTTTATATAGTGTGTGTGTGTGTGTTTACAGGGCGGCAGCGTGTTCGGCACAGAACAAAGAGCTGCAGAGGACGGTGGAGCAGTTGGAGAAACACAACATGTACGAGCACATTTAATCACTTATTATTGATTGATTGTACCATTTCGTGCTGTAATTATTTTATCCAGACATTTCTTTCAAACAGTGTCAGTATACATTAATAAACATTAGTTGAATGTAGCAGAGTTAGTTAGCCATCGGCTTATTTTAAGCTACAACACACACGGTACAACAAAGGTGATTTTCAACTTTCTTTGTCAACTCAGGCTTTCTGCTTCAGACTCTAAGTGCGTTCACACAAAAAGGAGACGTTTAACCCGTCATGTGACTCTTCTGCACAAAATGAAACAGTCGTGTGCAGCTGCTTCAGTCAGCAATGAGGAATATTAAAAAATGTATGATGGTTAAAAGTGCCGCTCCTGCAAAAGATGCAAGACACTAATGCTGGTAGAAAACTGTCAAACGTGGGTTAATATATTTATTTTTCTGATCAGTGCAGCCGCATATTTCTGACTACCAGCTGCACATTAAAACGGTTGAACTTTAAACTTCATATAATTAAACATGATCTTGTATTGAAGTGCATTTAGGTCTGACACTGTCCCATAATGCAAGATATCAATTTATTTTTTGGCCAAATCAAAGCAAAATTAATGTTATTGATTAAATATTCTCTGTAGTAAAAACCAGCAGAATAATCCATTTTCTAATCTGGGTTTTGTCAGCTGTAGTACCAGCAAAGTAAATGGACTTGACAGCAAATCAGAGCCAAACATAAAAACATATTTCTGTGTTTTCCAACTAAATACATGTCTGGTTCCCATAGCAACGTGATGCATACAGTGTGTGATACTGTAGCTACACGGTTTCATTCAGTGATATTAGTAACGCACAACTCAGCATGTTTGCAGATATAACTGAGAATCTGCATCGCTCATAAATAATAGTCAGGAAATGATTTGGTTAAAGGGAGATGCTTCTTCCAACCGATTTAAATGTGAAGCTCTGAACATAACCTGCTCCCCAGCAACAGTTACCATGGAGATCTAACTCCACAGCAACAGTTACCATGGAGATCTAGCAGGTCAAAAGAGAGCCACCTTCGTGACACTGAAAACTCTGACTTTAGGCTCAAAATACCTCAACAACCTACTAAACTGCTTCCTAGTACAGCTGTCAAACACAACAAAGAGGAGCAAGATGGCAGCAGGAAGGACAAGCCAACTAAATGCTGACAGAACTGATCAGAATAGAGTTCCATTGTTGTGCAGCTTTTCAGAGAAAAAGCAGACTGCACTTCTGTTGTGTGTTTTGTTGAGTTTTAATGTTTTATTATTTTCATTGTGGAGCACTTTGGCTCAGCTCTTATTGCTGTTAAATGTGCTTTATGAATACATTTGACTTAAAGTTTCATCGTGAAGCAGTGAGAGACAGAGCTGTTTTTTGGTGTTGAGTCAATTTGCACTCTGCCAGTTATTGCTGCTGAATATGAATGGATGAACATGACAGCATGGATTGTGTTGTGTGTTTTCAGGTCTCTGTTGGCTCAACTGCGACAGCTTCAGTCTCTGATCAAACAGACGGTCAGCAAAGGAGCCCAGACCAGCACCTGCTTACTGGTACGCAACACTGAGCGCTTGTGTTCGGCTTTAAGATCTCTGGTTTATGTGTGATTCATTCGATGTATGAAGTATTTTGGTTTGACATCCAAGCTTCCAAAATCCATAAATATTATATAGAAAATAAAAATATTAAAATCGAAATTATTTACACACATCAATACCATTCACAGAAACATCACTAATTAACAAAACAATAAATTAGTTTCCTAATTTTTAAATAAGATAGCGTGGGGGAGTTTTTTCAAACTTGTTTTTTATTTCTAAAAGAGATGGCGAACTATAGAGGGACATTGATTTAATATTATGTAGTTAATATCATAACAGCATCATAGTCGGAGCAAAGGATCAATGTTAACAGCTGGATTTTAAAACCATGTATTTTTACGTGATGAACACCTGAATCTGAAAGTGTTTTTATTAGATAAAATCTCAGTTTTTATAAACTTCAGCTCCAGCTCTAAAACTGGCTCTGAAGAGTTCAGGTTTTCAGGGCATGTTGTAGATGAATGCTGTGTTTGTGTGTCCTCAGATCATCCTGGTGTCTCTGGGTCTCATCATCCTGCCCAGTTTCAGCCCGTTCAGACGCGACCCGACTGGAGACGCTGACTACAGACCCACAGGAGGTCAGTTTCTCTCCTCATCAGGAACTTTATAAAGTATCACAGATTTTCCTTTGAGACCCGGGAATCAAGAAATCCCACAAAAGTGCTCACTTTTTCAAATGTATCTGTCAAAAACTAGCAGGAACAAATCAGGTGAGCAAATAATCGAGAAACTCAAACCGGAATGTTTCAGTTTCCTGACTTGTGTACATTTTTCTCTGGTTCAAAGAGGAATTATGTGTTGAATGGCTCCTTCTGTGTTTGTTAAACGGGCCTTCAAATCATTGTGAAATAATCTTTTGATTATTGGTTTGATTGATTGATTATTTGACCTAAAAATCCTGTAACTTAACATGTTCAAATTACTTTAATGTTAAAACAACAAAAAGTCTGCAGATTATCAGTTAAGAAGCTGAAATCAAATCAAGTATTTAGAATTTTGTTGGGAAATAAACCTCAGTGACGACTTTGTATATGTGCAAATGGTGTAAGTATGATTTGTTTTATGTGTTTTCTTTAGAAATGAAGCATGTGGATGGTCAGTTTATAATGTTAGATCGATACTAATTAAAATGATTTATTTAATCTTGCTGAAACTACAGATTTTAAAGCTTTTACTGGGGAAAGGAGAAAAATACATGTGCAAGGTGAAAATGTTTAGCCTTGATGATTTACATCAGGTCATAAACACAAACATACATGTGTGGGGCCACAACACTGAGGTGAAATAATCAGAATCCACTGTTGTCTGTTCCATATTTAACAGAACATTTTGGTTTTCACTGTAACATTTAGTTTTAAGTACAACAAGATCCTTGTTAAATTAACTCATCTGAAATGTTGTGGAACATTTGGTGCAGCAGCAAAATTAATCGTTTTGAGTCCTTCCAGTTATTTCCAGGAACATCCTGACTGAGCCGGTGTCTTCGCAGCCGATGGCAGAAGAACTCGATGGTCCGGCAGTCCGATCCGACTCCTTATCTCCGTCTTCGGATCTCAGCCAATCAAGACCTCCGGAGGGCAACGTCATCCTCCAAGAACCAACAGAAAACTCTGAAAATTCAGCCACTGATGGCGCGGCCCTTGGAGCGAGCCAATCAGGAAACATCTCGGTTGTTGTTTCCGGGCGGACTGAAGTGGCGGCTCGAAAAGGAAGCCATGACCCGGGAAAACCTGCGCATGCCGATGAGATGTAGATGAACTGTCTGAATGATGATAAGTGGACATTTTGTTCTTATGAACATGAAGTCAGGACGCATTAGTAGCTGCTAAAGTAGGAATACTCTGATTGCCCAGTGCTGATCAGTATTGGCAGATATCTCTTGGAAAGAGTTCAGTGATGGCGGTCTGAAAAGGTTCTGAAGTGTTTCTACATAAAAATAAGTTTCTCTAACTTGGTTTTATCTGTTCAAGTAAGTTCTTTAATCCAGATATGAGAGTGGCATTGGAAAGTCTGTGTAATAATCAATAGTCAGCCTTAAGTAGCCCAAAAATAAGATGACACATCAAGTTCACAATCGTGTCTTATTTATTAGCGCCTTATTTCGGCCTGACGAACACTTTCTGTTTATGAGGTACAAAAGTAAAGACAACAACACAAAGAAAGAGTTAGTTTGTTGTTCTGGTAATTTGTCCAAAACTGCAGCCAATGTTCACACCCAGAAAAGAGGACATGATTTGTCCAAATAGACAAATATATCCAGGGACTTGAGGCCGATGATGCCGCCTGCCTTTGTTTCTGGTAAAGTTTCAGAAAATGTTTCATCTGTCTGTTCCGCCTTTGAGGCCTGTTGTCTCTGTTTGACCTAAACAGACTCGAGTCAATCCTCTAAACTCCAAAACCCGCTGGCGGGTATGACAGGTATGGTATCCTAAAGAAATTGCCCAAATATCAGCATGTGTGAGCCAGAGACTTTAAAAACAGAAAAAACAAGTTGGATTTTCAGTTTTGGTCCATAAACTAATAATGTGTGACGTGCAGCTGCATCAGGAAAATGAACCAAATCTAAGCTAAAAGTCATATTTCATCCAAATCACTCTATTCTGCATCTCATTTGAACATTTGCCAAAAATACACAGTTTTTCTAATAAAATGATGTTAAAAAAAGAAAAATCTAAATAAATTCTGCATTCCTCAGAACAACTGATTCTACATGACTGACTGAGTTTCCTGTTGAACTGCAGGCAGTGTTTACACAGAGCAGAGAGGAGGCAAGTGTGGAGTAACTCATAATTTGTCCGTATTGAATGGGGCTGGTGGAGGGATTGCAATCTAAGCAGTTCACTATTTGAATTTATATACACTTCATGGGAAAAAACCCAACATCTGGACGACGGGGACCTCAGTGGTGCGTACGGCCATGCTACTGCACCACACTGCATTTTGATCAATTTATTTATTTGTTATTGTTGGGCTAGGCACTTAGTTTATACAAATGAAGCACTACATATTGACTATTTGTTTAGATAGTTTCTCTCGTTGTTTGGTCATTTTTTTGTATTTTTCTTAATACCATTTACAGCCACCTCAGGTCCCCTCTTGCAGCTCCCTGTGGCCCCCTAGTGGGCTCTGGCCCCCCTGTTGAGAACCTCTGTCCTAAATGACAAACATGGTCACCATGAATTGGCATCTGTCCAAATTACCCCAAAAAAGTAACAAAGCAATCTGTCCAAATGACTTAGAAAGTCTACCAAATCACAAAGAAGTCCACAATGTCATACATTTTGTCCATTTACATACGTTTACGTCATTATTTGAGACTTTAGCCATGTTTAATATGAACATCTGAGATTATGACACGATATGTATATACATACATATATTTATATATGACAGAAAATAAGGAAAAGCACATTTTTTTCTCCTTAAAGAGCCCAAACATATGTGTTTATTACTGAAGAAAACTCCAAATGTTCTACTAAAGTGAAGCTGCTGTAAATGATGTTGGATATTTGAACATGTGTTGGGTTGTTGAGGAGAATCTGTTGAGTCTGATTGAAATTTAAATGTTCATTTTTTTGTTTTAAAACATTTATCATGCGTTTGTATTTTCATAAATACACATTGAGGTGTTTATTTTACTATTCTGTCGATTTGGGTTTGTAGGTTTTCATTACAGAACATATTTTAAAGGTTATTTTCTTAAAATGAGCTTTTCCTTCTACTCTGATCCAGTAATCTCCAATTCAGCAGCTCTTACATTTCTGAGCATCTTAATAACATGTTTTCATAATTGTTTTGTTAATCATTTTTGGCACATTTCATTTTTTCTCTCTCTCTTTTTTTGACATATTTAGTTATAAGGATTTTAAATGTTTTAGGGGTATTTTATTAATATTTTAGGAGATTGTTCTTGCTTTTTTACTAATTTTTTTGCTTTTATGAATTAATTAAAAAAAAAATAAAAATTGTGGGCTGCAAGGTGGCTCGGTGGTTTGCACCGTTGCCTCCCAGCAAGAAGGTCGCCGGCTTGCGTCCTGGTGAGGACCTTTCTTCATGGAGTTTGCATGTTCTCCCCGTGCAGCGTGGGTTCTCTCCGGGTTCTCTGACTTCCTCCCACAGTTCAAAAACATGTTGAGGTTAATTGGTGATTCTAAATTGTCTGTAGGTGTGAATGTGAGATGGTTGAGTAGCCCTGTGATAGACTGGTGACCTGTCCAGGGTGTCCCCTGCCTTCACCCTGAGTCAGCTGGGATAGACTCCAACCCCCCGTGACCCTAGTGAGGATTAAGCGGTGTATAGATAATGGATGGATGGATATTTTATTCTTTTTTTGGGAAAGTTTTCAGACATTTGATTCATTTTCTTACATGTCTTGGACATTTTTGTTAATATCCTATGAACATTTTATTCATTTATTTTTGTCATATTTCATAAAAAAAAAGACAATGTTTTTAGGGGCTGTATTTTATTGTCAGTAATTCTAATGCATCCTGCAGTATGTCCCTTAAGCCACAGTTCCTGCTTTACTGACTGGATTTATTTATTTTGCTGCATTAACAGGTCAAAATGTCAGCGTTTGTAACTGTGTGTTGATCACCTGCTTTTATCTTCCCACAGTGGACTTGCACCTCCTTATCGAATGGCTTAGTTTGTTTGATGTCTTCGTTTATTTTTCAGATTTACTTTAATTAAAGGGAGCAATCAAAGGAGACTGTCTCACTCAGTTATTACAGACTGTCAGCATGTGTGGCTGTTGTGGTTTTCTTAACCTTCAACTGTAAAAGTTAATTATTACAGAGGAAAAACTCATAACATGAACTCTTTTGAATTTTTTTGACCAAACTGATTTGCTCTTTAACCATCTTCAATACATTAGCACATTAAAAATGGATTTGTCATGTTTGTGTTCACCTGACTGATCTCACACCAGTATTTTCTTTCTCTTTTTGCTCAGCGTTTGGTCTCCACCAGCTCCACAAAAGAATACCTGGATCTTTATTGTGTCTCTGTGTTGTTTTACATCTCTTTGTGGTCATTTTGTGTCTTTGTGGTCATTTAGGATCCGTTTGTGGTCATTTTGTCACTCATTGTGGTCATTTTGTGAGTCTTTGTGGTCATGGTGCATCCGTTTGTTGTCATTTTGTGTCTCTGTGGTCATTTCTTTGTCCCTTTGTGGTCATTTTGTGTCTGCGTGTTCGTCTTGGATCTGTTTTTTTTTTGGTCATTTTGTGAGTCTTTCTGGTCATGGTGCATCTGTTTGTAGTCATCTTGTGTCTGTGGTCATTTTGTGAGTCTTTGTGTTAATTTTGTATCTGTGTGGTCATTATTATTTATCATGATAGTTATAATAATAATAAAGCAGAAATATGGTTTTGACAGGCTCTATCAGACTGACAGTCCAAACAGAAATACTTGACCCTTTAACTGCTTTGTGTTACACAGGTGTTCCTATTAGTTTGTCCAGTCTTGTAGATTCTTGAAGGTGCTTGTGTTATTCATGTCTTTGACCACAAGGTGGCGCTATAACCTCACATCTGCTAAATGACTCCAAACTGAACCCTCACTGACAAGACAGCAATCTGATTTTCTGTTGCCATTATTATTACAAGACAAGGCTGAAATTAGTGAAGTGAAATGAGCCACAGGTTTAGATCTGAATTTCTAGACGTAGATGTGAGCGCAACCTACAGGACAGAAAAACAACAGGCACAGTTTATCAATAAATCGATCAGGCTATGTTTAGCACTCTTCATACAAATGAACTGCAACACAATGTGCATTACACCTGAAAGAAACAAAATGCAAATAAAAACAATACAAACAGTCAAACTCCACCAACGTCATGTTACAAATGAACAGGAAGTGAGGAAACACTGTCCTCAGTAAATGCAGTGAGCAGGGAGGATCGGTCCAAATGACAAAATCAAGATAACACAATAACAAAAAGGGAAGTGATAAACGATAGATGAAGGGAAATGACATAATTTAGGTCAAACTTATAAAGCAAAAAAAAGAAAACATATATATATATGTATATATATATTTTTTTTTTAAATTAAATAATAAACATTAGACAAAATTTTGCGTCTCTGTTTGGTCTCAACCAGCTCCACAGAAGAATATTTGTATCTCTGTGGTGTGTGGCATCACTTTGGTATTTCATGTCTTCTTGTGGTCATTTTGTGTTTTTTGTGGTAATGCGTCTTTTTTTGTCATTTTGCATCTCTTTGTGGTAGTTTTGGTCTCTGTGGTCATTTTGCACCATTGTGTTAATTTGGCATTCTTTTGTGGTCATGTTGTGCCTCTTTGTGGTCATTTTATGTCTCTTTTTGTTGTCATTTTACATCTCTTTATGGTGGTTTGGGTCTCTTTGTGGTCATTTTGCACCCCTTGGTGGCATTTGTGTGTCTCTTTTTTGGCCATTTTCTGCCTCTGGTGTTTTTGTGTATCTTTGTGGTCATTGTATGTCCGTTTTTGTGGTAATTTTGTGTCTGGTTTTGTGGTCATCTTCTGTCTCTGTGGTCCTTTTGTTCCTTTTTGTTATCATTTATGTCTCATTGTGGCCTTTTTGTGTCTGTTTGTTGTTATTTGTTGTCACTTTATGGTCATTTTGTGCATTTTTCTTGCTCCTTTTGTGCGTTTTTGAACTCTGTGACTTTCTGTAAAGAATTATCAGCAGCTTCACTCAGAGGCCTGTATCAACCTAATCCATAAATACACACCTGGTTTGTGCTAACACCAAACAGACAAACAAAGGTTTTGTTGGATTATAAATGAAGTGAAGTTAAACAGGTGGACAGCGAGCAAAGGCTGATAAATCCAAGGCAGGCAGAAATCCAAAAACGACCTTTTCTGCAGTATGTGGTTGTGTTTTCTACCTCTGCAACCTTTTTTGTCGAATTTTTGCAGATGTCTCCTCAGTTTGTCACGTTGGATTTATTTTCTGGTACTTTGTCTAGAATCCAGCAGAGGAGTGACGTCTGTTTTCAGATTCTTCTGCTGGAGGTGAAAAGCTTCTCTGAGCGATTTTTCTTTGTGTGTTTACAGATTGTGTGTTTTATTACTGTTTGTCTTGAGGTCCTTGAAGCTCTGGGCTTCAGTTCCAGATGATCGCAGTGTGATGCCGAGCGTCTGTGTGACAGATTACAGGAGGTCGGCAGGTTAAACGCTGTGTGATTGGAGTTTTTAATGATGTGACATTTCGCAGCTGTTGTGAGTTTGCTTGGCTGCGTTGTGTTTATGTGTTTGTTGCATGATTTGTGTTAATGGAGTGTTTAGGATTTCTGCTGTTTGATTTGTCGGCATTGTCTCATGAGGATCTCTTCTGGATGGTGGTGAAGCAGTAAGTCTGTTTGTGTGGCTGCAGATGGATTCTGTCAGACATTTGGATGTCATTTCTTGCAGTTCACAATCATTTACATGTTATTTTTGATCAGTGTTTGATTATTGATTACTGGTCTGCCGACATCATGTCAGCTGATTTCTGTTGTTCAAGTGTTTGTGACTTCTTCATCCTGTTAATGTCAGCTATAAAAGACCTGTCATGGGTTGTGTGCAGTGTGGTAGTGGACCACACAAAACAACCACAAAGAG